GGAGGTAGGAGTTAACAAGTTAACCTACCTGAGTCTCCACTTTCGTCTTCAGATGCGTCTGTTGTTTCTAACTCGGGAGTAGTCATGACACTTGTGGTAGTTGTGGCTTCTGTGGTTGTAGTCGTTACCGGCTCGGTCGTGGATGGTGGTTTGATTGTCCGTGCTGCAAAGTCTATTTAAATTAAGGGCAAAGTTGAAACTTTCTAGAGACCATTTTAACACCACCATTACTAAGGATGAACCAATTCGTCCGTTTAGTATAGGTTTAGTAATCCACAACTCCCAAAGCATTCATATATTGGCATATAATAAAAAAATCAGACAAATATGCTATTTCTATAGCATTATGAATTATAATGGAAAACTAACGATAGGGTTTGGGCCCGGCGACCCCTATATGGTTACCGTATCCGAAACGATTCCGTGCTGAGTTTTGGAATGGCGTAAGATTCGGATCTTCCTGGATGGAGTTTTCTGCTATGGCTTTCTCTCCTAAATAGGTAATTTGAATGGACAAATTTAGAGAAGGTGACATTATTTTTATCACTTACTTGCCCAATAAGCATTTTAAAAACATGGGGTATGACTAGTGATGAATATGTTCCTCCTACCCTGCCCAAAAGTTGGATGATAAATCACCTGTGAGTGTGAGGGACTGCATACATTTATAAATCATCTACTACACCAACCGCACAAATTATTAGTTTATGCCATTCAGGAACCTGATTATGCAACAGAGCATTATTCTCTAATGATGACACTGAGGAACGGAAAGAAAAGCTGTTCTTTTTAAAAGCCATGTATCTGAGATAAGAGGGACCTGCTACGAGGGAACAAATGAGCAGGCTGTGGGTTCTACCTTATCTTAATCTTAATGTGGATGCTCACTCTGCGGATAAAATGGATTGTATTACTCTCAAACTCTCAACAGTTCTTTTTGCTAACTCGACGACCACTAGGTTGTCTGGGCTCAATAAGTCGAAGAGGAGGCTTAGCGAAAGAGCCGAAAAGGGTATTCTCTTTGTTCTTTTGTAGGACCTTAACGAT